TTTCTATTACTATTGGCATCCAAACGAACGCTCACAAAGTTCGCGTTTGAAGCATTTGCATTCGTCTAATAATAATTATGACGTCATGACCGTAATATTTTAATGATTATGACGTCATTGTCTAGGAAGCATTTCGGTAAGAGGCACCCTAAGTATGCGGACGTGTTGTTAGACTACGGCTTCTACATGCTTAATGTCGATAGAGTTGAAAAATCAATTAAAGTTAGTTCCTGAGACATTGCTGAGTGATTCTATTGGTTGAGTGAGTCTACTGGTTGAGTGATTCTATTGGTTGAGTGATTCTGTTGGCTGAGTGTTTCTATTGGTTGAGTGATTCTACTGGTTGAGTGGTTCTATTGGTTGAGTGATTCTACTGGTTGACTGATTCTATTGGCTAAATGATTTTATTGATTGATTCTGTTGGCTGAGTGATTCTATTGGTTGAGTGATTTTATCGGCCGAATGATTTTATTGGTCCTAGTGATGAATAGAAAGATGGATGGATGGAGAAGTGAACGGATGGATATTTAACTAAATAGATGATGGATAGTTAGATGGATGGATGGATTGATTGATTTTTTAATATTATAATTAAATAATTAATCACAATACTATACATATTTAATAGAAGTATTGTTGCAAATGATCCGTCAGATATACCAGATGGCACTCGATATTAGGGTGGCTGTGTTTGGAGGTCATAACCTGCATGTTGCGATCGCCCACGAAGATTTGGCCTACTGCACTTATGTTCGCGAATATAACAGTGGAAACTTCCAAAATGCGAGGTGTGTGTTTGTGCGTGTGTGTGTGTTTGTGTGTATGTAAGTGTGTGTGCGCGCGTGTGTGTAAGTGTGTTTGTATGTGTGTGTGTGTGTGTGTGTGTGTGTGTGCGCGCGTGTGTAAGTGTGTTTGTGTAAGTGTGTGTGTTTGTGTGTGTGTGTGTTTGTTCGTTCACTACCATTTTATTATAATTTTTTAAAGTCATTAACTTTATCGTCGTCATTGTTATTATCGTTTTGTTATCATTCCTTTGTTCGATTCTTCATCCATTCATTCATTCGTTCATTTATTCATTCATTTGCTTCATCGTTCTTTCCATCGCTACACCCGAGCAGAGAACACGCAGAGGCAGCCATAAACATACTGACACGTATCCTACCACGTGATCATCTACTGCTGGCCTCGTCCAATCGCGTTAAAGGTTCAAATTTGAATTTAGGCATAAGCGGGTGGGATAGAGAAATGTACCTAGTAAATAATAATTAGCTCCTTAAGATTATAGACATTGTGGTATTTACATATGAACGATGACGACGATTCGTAAAATCACAACATACCCACTCGGAAATGTTTACCGGAATAAATTCACTCATCTACGTATCTAATCACTCATCCATGAAACATTACTAACCAAACACGAAACACACACAAAATTACTAACCCACTGAAGAAAAGTCACCAATCAATCAATCATTCAAAAAAAAACACCAATCCACATCCACAAACAAATTTACCAACCCTTCAAAACCCCAAAAACCCTCCTCTAAACCAACAGCGCTAATCCTAGAGGAGATAGCCATAGAAAGTTTTCCGCGGGAGAAAGAGATGAAGTTGTTGGGGGAGGCTGAGGAGTTGCACCTGGACTCTCTACATCTGGCCTTGAAAGCGTTTGGGGAGAATAACGTACAGACGGCCAAGCACTACGGCAATCTGGGCAGGTTGTACCAGTCTATGCAGAAATATGAGGTAGTAGATTAGGGATTGGATTTTGTGGGAATTTAATTGTCGGTTTTGTTCGCTCTGTTTCTCGTACCCTCATTCGTTCTTTCATTCATTTGCTCTTTCATTCAGTCGATCGGTCACTAATTTATACATTCATTCATCCATTCACTCATTCATTATTCATTCATTCATCCATTCACTCGCTCGCTCACTCATTCATTCACTCATCCACCAACTTACTCGTTCGTTCGACAGATGGCAGAGCAGAACCACTTGAAAGCGATCGACATAAAGGAAAGGCTGTTGGGAAATGAGGATTACGAAGTCGCCCTGTCAGTTGGACACCTGGCCTCTCTCTACAACTACGATCTGAATCTATTCGATAAGGCCGAGTGCCTCTACCTCAGGTCTATCGCCATTGGTCGGCTATTTTTAGCTCTTCGTTGTTATTTTTATCACATTTTAATTACTTTTTAGCTATTTTTGGCCATTTTTTGCTCTTTTTGGTTATTTTTAGCTCTTTCAAGTTATTCTTAACTTTTTAGGTTATTTTTAGCCGTTGTTGGCTACGTTTAGTTCGCGTTATTTAGTCATTCATGCCTTCTTAACTTTTTTAGGATATTCTTAGCGCATTGTTAGTTATTATTATTAGTCCGTGGTAGTTATTTTTAACTTGTATTTTTATTTTTAGCCTGAACTATTTGTTTCTAACTCCTAGGTAGTACTTATTTCTAACTTGTAGGTGCTACTTATTTCTAACTTGCACTGCTTATTTCTAGCTCTCTTGCTGGTTCATTTTATTATTATCCCACATCATCTGCTGGGGCTGTCGATAGCAAACTCTTCTACCGTTTGCGGAATTTTTTGCTTGCGTGGTTTGCCGCTGACGAGATTTCAAATATTAATATTTATTTTTTATAAGTCATTTGCACGAAACATTTTTAAAATTAATAAACATTATTTGGAGTAAAATTTTCTTTTTTTTTTACTAGTTCCAAAATTCATTTTCATCCGGCCAAAATTGAAAAGTGTGAGAAATCGCCTTTTAGCAATAGAGCAATCACCTTTCACTTGAGAGAGATGTCAATTTTCATTGCTCTGTTGTTCTTATTAGAGTGTAATTATTCAAACAGAGTGACTTCTCAGGGTCACTCTGTTTCAATTTCATACTCGAAACTAAAACCCCAAATTACGTTCCCTGTTTAAATATCGATATGCGGGTAGATGAGAACATTGTGGGTTCAGAAGATCCAGGCGGTTTGGAAAATTTTTTTCCGCATACGAGGCATTAATTTTCAGCTCTTGGTTGTTATTCTTAGCTCTTGGTTGTTATTTTCAGCTCTTGGTTGTTATTCTTAGCTCTTGGTTGTTATTTTCAGCTCTTGGTTGTTATTCTTAGCTCTTGGTTGTTATTCTTAGCTCTTGGTTGTTATTTTCAGCTCTTGGTTGTTATTCTTAGCTCTTGGTTGTTATTTTCAGCTCTTGGTTGTTATTCTTAGCTCTTGGTTGTTATTCTTAGGGTATATTTTATTAGGTGATACGTATATTAGCACGATGATGTCAAGATGGCGGAGTAAAAGCCCAAACGGAGTTGAAATAATCTTTATTCGGTTCTAAAACTGTGTGTGACGTCTGCAATGTCTACACCGGTGTTTCGAATTAATTTCTCATCAGGAATATGCAAACTAAAATAAATCGTGTAGGCTCCCAATTGATTTGACTAGATAAATATCGAAAATTTTTTAATTAAAACGAGTACATGAAACTATAATAAATTATAAAAATTAGTCGCGCTAAATGTTGGGAATTGTAAATAATAAATGTAAATAATAAATGTCTTAGTTGTTATTCTTAGCTCTTGGTTGTTATTTTCAGCTCTTGGTTGTTAATCTTAGCTCTTGGTTGTTATTCTTAGCTCTTGGTTGTTATTTTCAGCTCTTGGTTGTTATTTTCAGCTCTTGGTTGTTATTCTTAGCTCTTGGTTGTTATTTTCAGCTCTTGGTTGTTATTCTTAGCTCTTGGTTGTTATTTTCAGTTCTTGGTTGTTATTCTTAGCTCTTGGTTGTTATATTCAGCTCTTGTTTGTTATTTTCAGCTCTTGGTTGTTATTTTTAGGTCTTGGTTGTTATTCTTAGTTCTCGTCAGTTATTTTTTAGCTCGAATTTGTGTGTGTTTATTGGCTGGCTAGGCTAGCTGACTGACTCATTCTATTATATTTTTGTTTATCTTATTATGTTTCTTTGTTGTATAACTTGTTCCATATTTTTAATTATTAATTTAATTATTTATTTTTTTGTTTTTATTATTATTCATTCATAATTCGTCAGGTAAAAAGTTATTTGGCGAGGGTTACAGCGGCCTCGAATACGATTACAGGGGTCTCATAAGGTATCCATCATTGAATTAATATTCATGGTCATCGCTATCATTGCCATTATAATAAATTATAATATGTTAATTTATGCAGGCTCTACCAGGTCAAAGAGGATTTTGTTAAGGTCAACCGCTACACAAGCGAGCTGAGGAATTGGGCTTTGATTAGGGAAAGACAATTTAACGATGGCGCCGATGACGATGACGATGGCGTTTATAATAATAGTAATAATAATAATAATAACAATAATAATAATGTTAATAATGTGAATAATAATAACAATAATATTAATCTTTTAAATGCTAGTTACAATGTCTGGCATTACTCATTGAATAGGAACATAGCGAACAACAACAACAATAAGAATAATAATAATAATAATAATAATAATAGAAATTGTAAAAATAATAATAATTTTGACCATGACGACGATGACAGAAATATTATAACTGAACTAATAGAGCAGCTGGAGGCCTCGCCATCTTTTAAGAAAGTTTTTGAGAAATTCAACAACGCCCATCTCTCTGACGTCACGGACACCCTAGATGACGATAGTAGTAGTAGTAGTAGTTGTTGTAGTACCGTTAGTAGTAGTAATAGTTGCAGTAATGGTAGTAATAGTAATGATGATGATGATGATAGCGGGAATGAAGTAGGCGACAACGATATGAGCAGTAATAGTATCAGCAGTGATAGTAATAGTAGCATTAGTAGTAGCTACTTGACCACCAGTACTAATAGCGGTAGTAGTAGTAGTGGTAGCGGTAGTAGTAGTAGTAGTAGTAGCTTTCAAGCACCATCATCATCGTCGTCATTTTCTGATTGATTGATTGATTGATTGATTGATTGATTGATTTATTGATTGATTGATTGATTGATTGATTGATTGATTGATTGATTGATTGGTTGATTGATTGGTTGATTGACGGATCGATTTATTGATTGATTTTATGCTAAGATTATTAAGAGAATTAAAATAAAGAAAAAATAACGATTGATGATCATGATGATGTATTGGGGCGGTTATGATGCTGATGATGGTGATGGTGATGGTGATGCCTACTGGATGACGCTGATGGTAATGATTATGAACCATGATGATGATGATGACAACTGCTTCAAGATTGAAATGAT